ACTACCAAAACCAAAACCATAACAAAACCAAAACCAAAACCAAAACCAAAACCAAAACCAAAACCAAAACCAAAACTCCCCAATATCTCGCGACTGGGAGGAGCTAGCGAAAATCTGTTTGCAGATTTGAAATCAGCATCCAAAAATCTATCTCATAGGCTATTTTTTGTTTGTCACTTCTTATAATTTTTGAATTTTTAAATAAAGAAATAAATAAATGAATTCATTTCTTCTAAATTATTGACAAGTAAATGAAAAAATTTTCCTAAACACGTGCAAAACATTTTTCATTGAGAACAACAAAAAGATCTTCTTGAAGTCAACTTTTACAGTTGGCTCCAAGATTTCATTTTCACATTTAACAAAAATTTTCTAAAACAAACACACCAGAATTTGACATTAGATATTCGCAAAACAAACATTTTCCAATGACTAACACCTAATGAACATCACCTAGTGAAACTGATCGGGATTCATGAAATGAGATATTCTCAATTATTATTGATAACTTGTTCCCATCATTGTCGAAAGTCCCTGATCCCATCCTCAAAAAAAAATGGGGAGTTTTCGAGCCAAAATCAGTGTCGACTGCTTTTTCGATCTGTGCATGATTCTCGAACTTTTCTCCCATAAGAAAACTCTTCAACGACCGAAACAAAAAATAATCTGATGGGTTCAGGTCCGGACTATAAGGTGCGTGGGGCAGAAGTTTCCAACCAAGCTCGTCGATTTCAAATAATCTGATGGGTTCAGGTCCGGACTATAAGGGATTCATGAATGCCGATCAGATTCACTAGGTGATGCTCATTAGGTGTCAGTCATCGGAAAATCTTTGTTTTGCGGTTTTGAGTTCTTTGCTATTCATAAACTCGTTCGTGTCAGCCTGAAAAAGTGAAAATTTACTAACTTCAAAGTATTTTGTACTGTAAAAAGTTATGAAAAAATAAATCAGTGCTGCACTTGTTCACCTTTGTTTCTCACCAACCTCACATTCCGAATGTGAGGTTTTTGAAAAACGTGGAAACGTTCTGTGGAAACGTTGCAGAGTTGATCACTTGTTAGGAACAAAACAGAGCAAATTAATAAAAACCAAAAGATTTAAAAAATTCTTTAACTTATCACAAATATTTTGGCCAAAACTTTTTTAGAACTGGTATTTTTAATCAGTTTTTTTTACAAGACCAGCTTTTATGTTTGGCTCTGAAAGAAAGCAGCTCAAAATTTTAGCTTTTTTTGGATTGCCGAAAATTGATGAACCCTCAAGAAACTATTTTATTTTTAAATCAAAAAAAGAAACTAATAATTGAACTCTAAAAATTCAAATAGAAAACCCGTGGGTTTTCCTTAGTTTTCAATGTTTTTACTCCAAGACTTGGCTGAATGTTGAAGCTTTCGTTTGTTAAATGGTGTTAAATGTTTTGACATTTTCCTTCTAATATAACACTTTTATTTAAAAGAAACATTTTTGAGATCATAAGAAATAATCAAAACAAAAAATACACATACCGTAAATACTGTAATAGTACCCCACCCGCCTCGTACAGTCGCGTAGTCCCAAAAGTTTTTTAGTATTTCATTTTTTTCAAAGCGCCCGTCCTTTCAAAAATGCGTCTTTGGTATCAAAAAATAGCCCTGAATTTCAGCTATTTTTTGATACCTAAGCGCGCATTGTAGCATAAACCAGTGTCGAGAAAAACTCGTTCAAAGCTAGACTACGTAACACTCCGCACCGTCATTATGGGGGTGGGGTACTGTTACAGTATTTACGGTAGTTACCAAACAGGTATCAAATGCGTACCAAATAGGTATCAAATAATTACCAAATGGCTAACAAATAGTTACCAAATAGGTACAAAAGAGTCACCAAATAGTTACGAAATAGGTATCAAGTGCGTGCCAAATACCGTAGATACTGTAATAGTACCCCACCCGCCTCGTACAGTCGCGTAGTCGCAAAACTTTTTAGTATTTCATTTTTTCCAAAGCGCCCGTCCTTTCAAAATGCGTCTTTGGTATCAAAAAATAGCTGAAATTCAGGGCTATTTTTTGATACCTAAGCGCGCATTGTAGCATAAACCAGTGTCAAGAAAAACTCGTTCAAAGCTAGACTACGCAACACTCCGCACCGTCATTATGGGGCTGGGGTACTATTACAATATTTACGGTAAAAGTGATAGCAATTTATCTTTCGATGCTCCAAGCAACCTTGGCAGCTCCATACACTCCACCAGCAAATCCCAGCGTTCCACCGACAATCGTTCCCACAGGCCCACCAACAAGCGTCCCCGAAATCACCCCACTCATTGTACTCGTAGCAAGAGTGCTCACAGAATAAACCTTAGAAAATTATTTTCAATTTGAATTTCCTTTAATATTGAAACATTCAATTTCTTTTTCTATAAATTTTTTCTTAATAATTTTCTTACCATAACTTTTGTGGCATACCAAAGTTCATCCATTTGAAAAGAAATTTGATTTGAATTTGATTAAAAAAAATAGCAAAAATAAGTTCTTTTGATTGAAATAATCAAAATTCAGAATAAAAGAGTTGCAATTGAAAAAACGAAATGCTTTTGAGTGATCGCACGACTGTCAGCTGACTTTTTGAGATAGTAGCTTTTGGAACTTTTGGAAAGAGAAACTTTTTATTGATTTTTTTTCGCAAAATTGAGAAACATTGAGAGAGAGAAAAACACGAATTTTAGTAGAGAAATCTTGAATAAGAATGGTTAAATTTGATCGGATTAACAAGTTTTAGGAATCGTGTGACTGGTGAATCTTTTATGAAATTCCTTCTTTTGTTCTGAATTACCCTGTGGGAAAATGTATCCGCCAAGATGCTTTCTGTTATGAGTTTAACTCAGCTTGTGATATCTCATGACCCCGTGGGAAAATGTATCCGCTTTCTGTTATGAGTTTAGCTCAGCCTATGGTACCACATTGATCTTTATTGGGTTTTAATACGTGTGATTTTTACCGAAACATGTATTGCATATGAAAAAATCCGTTGACATTGACATTGATATTGACATTGACATTGACATTGATATTGATATTAACATTGACCTTGACATGGACATTGACATTGACATTGATATTGATATTGACATTGACATTGACATTGGCATTGACATTGACATTGATATTAACATTGACCTTGACATTGACATTGACATTGATATTGATATTGACATTGATATTGACCTTGACATGGACATTGACATTGACATTGACATTGATATTGACATTGACAAAAAAATATGATCGCTGCGTGACTCGCTGTCTCCCTCATCGCTCATCCGTCTCATCTCATCCAAATGGTGCATAACACTGTTATCCGGGTGATGGAATATGAATAATTTCAAATAATTTTAAATCCAGCTTTAAATCCACCATGCTACCAGATCCCAAAAAATCCCCTAGGAACCTAAACAAACTAGTTGCAGCTTTTTAAATGAAAACTGCTGATAAGAATAGACAATCGTTTAACCAAACAAAGTTTCAACTTATATGCGGTACTTAAATTAGAGAGATTCGTAGTTAAATTTCGTTTTCGTAGTTAAACTGAGTTAAATTTGAGATTCTTACAAAAACAGACACTTTGGCAAAGACAGATTTGATCTTTTATTTGAGTTTTGATTTTTTGATGACATTGTAGTTCATGGAGTTAAACATATTTGGCCAAAACGTCAAAATTTGCCCTAGCCTCAGCTACCTTACCCTACCCGACTCTAGGGCCATTCTGCTTAACAAAGTTTCGTCTACCGCGAACATAAAGCTATTTCGACCATAAACTATACTTTAACCTGTGTTTTATCATAAGTAATAGTAAATTTGTTGATTATCGACAACAATATGTTTCTACTCTAGTCTCTAAGGCGACCTTTAACATATAGGTAAAAAGAGGGTAGGGGACTCTGCACTTTTTTTCGATCTACTCAACTCTACCCCTTTTGGCCTACTCCTGCTTGGCACTACGTCAGTATACATTCGTTCAGTCGTTCAGTATACATTCAGCATAGCATAAACTTATTTAATTTGTTAAGAATGTCTACTACCAATACAATCATTTCTGCTCTCATTGTTCTATTCGTATAGGTTTTGCTCATTGGTAGGAAGGGGACGCACAAGATTTTGCCATAGATTCCATAGATCCATAGATCCATAGATCCATAGATCCATAGATCCATAGATCCATAGATCCATAGATCTATAGATTCCATAGATTCCATAGATTCCATAGATTCCATAGATTCCATAGATTCCATAGATTCCATAGATTCCATAGATTCCATAGATTCCATAGATTCCATAGATTCCATAGATTCCATAGATTCCATAGATTCCATAGATTCCATAGATTCCATAGATTCCATAGATTCCATAGATTCCATAGATTCCATAGATTCCATAGATTCCATAGATTCCATAGATTCCATAGATTCCATAGATTCCATAGATTCCATAGATTCCATAGATTCCATAGATTCCATAGATTCCATAGATTCCATAGATTCCATAGATTCCATAGATTCCATAGATTCCATAGATTCCATAGATTCCATAGATTCCATAGATTCCATAGATTCCATAGATTCCATAGATTCCATAGATTCCATAGATTCCATAGATCACAGGACAATCCGAATTTCAATCAGCTTGTCGGCTTAAACAGCTTAAACATGTCTACAGAAAGAAACGAAAAGTTTTTGGTTTCAAATAGCTTTACAATGTGAGAAAATTAGTTGAAAGATTTTGATTGGTCCTTAAGACAATGTAATTGTGAGTGTTTTATTAATCCCTATTTTATAAATCCCTATTTTATTAATCCTCTCTACCTATGTTGATCTAAAATCGAGAAATCAAATTGAAATTGTAATTGAAATTCTCGTCACCGATTGCAAATTAGTGCTCAGACCGTTCAAACTGTTCTCATGCCAACAATTTCAAGAAAAATTTTTATAACCGTCAATTAGCAGAAGAAAATTCCCCTTTGAGAAATGAGCAAACACAAAAGTTTTCCTTATTTACATATTCTCGAGGGTATGTACAAAAATAAAGCTTGTTGGTTTAAAAGTTTTACCTTTTTTACCTTTCTACTTTTCATTTTAGCTCCTGAGAAAAAGACTGAAGCGGCGGAAATTCTGGTTGATTCGATCAGTTTATCCGATTTGGAAGTAAACAAGGTACTGAATAAGATGCTTGATTCTTGATAACAGATTTAGAATAAAATTTTCCTTGTTTAAAAGCATTCGAAAATGATCAAAATCAAGCTTTATTTTTTAGAAAACGTCGAACGAGTTGAGCCAACTGAGGAGTGAGCTACAAGAAGCAAAAGTGAGTTGATTTTTGTGAGCTCTCCACTTCAGTTCCTTATAGATTTAAGTAAATCAAAACAAAACAATCTTTGGGCTAATTATGTAAAACGCTCAACAATTATAAATATATAATAGTCATGGAAAATGGTTGCAGGATACGAGCTCATAGGCTTTATCGCTTTCAAGTCATTCGAGTCCAAACAGCATTGGTTTCAGAGTTTTACAAGTCTAACTACTCGTTGATGAAAGTAAACATCTTTAGTATCTTGGTAGAAGCTAGCTTAAAACAATTAAAGCTTGCTTAGCAGCTTGCTTAAAGCTTTTTTAAAGCAATTAAAAATTTTCCAGTTCGAACCAACCCAACAGAAGCCTCAATCGTTTCCAAAACAAACCGAACCGAATCGAATCGGTAGAAGGGACCATTGAAAGAAAAAAAAAATCAATAAAAAGAACATCACCTATCTACAGTAAAGCTTAATGATTTATCTGGTTATTGATACTTTTTCGAAATGCATTTATTTCGGCTGATTGCTACCATTTTCCGGCCAAGTACCCTAAAATCTCCCGTGTATTTTTTCATATGCCGTATTTTTTCTAATAGTAGTGCACCCTAAGCGTCGCCTAAATTGCTCGAAATCTCGAGAACCGCTTATCAGAACCTATCGATGTGGGGTCGGAAAATGTAGCTGACGATGAGATCTAGTGGGAGATTTGAGTGTTGAGCTTCTGCAAAAGCTTGGAAACCGTAAAATAGTCACCAACTCGGCTCGCTGGGGTACACATGAATTTAGGGTACTTGCCCGGAAGTTGTAGCAATCATATACACAGGGTCTCATTTCTTATCAATGAAATGATAACGAAACTTATAAAAAGTTATGAGAGTTGGGCAAAGTAGCCTATCTCAAATATCGCCAAGTTTATCAAAGAGAAAATCTGGGACGAATTCATGGCTTGATTTTCGAGAAATCACCGTGCAAATTTTTTCTACGAACTTTCTTGCCAACCTGATATTTGATGCTTAACGAGCCTGGCCCATTTCTCTCATTTTTTTCAACTCTAATCCGAAACATTTAGGAAGAAATTCGTTTATTGAAGAAGTCAATCCAACGACTCGAGCAATTTCTCAAGAGACCCCAGTTTTATCAATGAAATCATCGGAAGTCATTTCGTCAAAGAATTCTTAAATATAGACCAAGAAAATAAAGTTCTTTCAATTAGTAAAAAAGTGAAACATTCAAATGAATCAAAGTTTTAGTAGATTATTATCTTTTGTTTTTTTCTTGTTTCCTTTTCCTTTCTTCCTTTCTTCCTTTCTTCCTTTCTTTCTTTCAACTCTTTATAAGATCAAGGTCATTCAAAAAAGAAATGAGAACCATCCTGGTTCCCCTAAAGACGACTTGCTCAAATCAATCATCTCTACTTTTCAAATACTGACAATTTCAAGTCAATTCTTGTCTTTCGCTGGCGTTTATCAAGTAAGTTTTTACGTTAACTTGTTTGCGATAAATACTGTGTGCTCGAAAAATTTTCTCGAAACCAAACAAACCAGTCCGGGTACGGATTGCTCAAAAACGCGAAAAATTGACAAAACGTGAGGCTATGCAAAGCGTTTCTAACGACGATTTTGGTGTAATAATACCTACCGTAAATACTGTAATAGTACCCCCACCCCCATAATGACGGTACGGAGTGTTGTGTAGTCTAGCTTTGAACTAGTTTTTCTCGACACTGGTTTATGCTACAATGCGCGCTTAGGTATCAAAAAATAGCCCTGAATTTCAGCTATTTTTTGATACATAAGCGCGCATTGTAGCTTAAACCAGTGTCGAGAAAAACGCGTTCAAAGCTAGACTACGCAACACTCCGCGCCGTCATTATCTTTGGTATCAAAAAATAGCCCTGAATTTCAGCTATTTTTTGATACCAAAGACTCATTTTTTGAAAGTATGGGCGCTTTGAAAAAAATGAAATACTAAAAAACTTTTGCGACTACGCGACTGTACGAGGCGGGTGGGGTACTATTTACAGTATTTACGGTAGGTGTTCTCTTGTTGCACAAGATTGCATCAAATAAATGAAATCAAACCAAACTCAGTCACAAATCAGACGGGCAGCTTTTCTCATGCATGCCGAAAAGAGTATTATGCAAATTCTTTTATGTACTTTGCCAAAATCACTCTAGAAAAAAAAACCCTTTCAATCACTATAAAAAGCTTTATATGACTTGATATGTCTGAGTTTTATAGTTTTGAAACTTATCTGGAACGGTGGGAGACTTGGAAAAGAGATTTCTATAGCAAATCTACTTGCCAGACTATCACCAAAGCCTTTTACATAATACATATTACATTCTACCCTTTTTTTCTTTAATTTCCAAGTCTCCCACCGTTCCAGTCTACTATTTCTTGCCTTATCGCACCCCAATCCCAGCCACCATAACTTCCTCCCCTCTCGATCTTCTAACAACTTATCTATACCCACCTCATTCATTCCCTTTTAACCTCGTAACCCCTATAACCCTTCTTTTCAGCTCTCGCTTTCACTCTCAAACTTATACCTACCAATTCTCCCATTTAGTCATCCCAATCTTCTCCTCTTCACCATTACCCAACTTCTTCACCTTTCCTTGAACAATTAAACCCCTTCCCTTCCCTCCCCTCTTCAATTGCTTCTGATCAACAAGTGTTTGGCGGCAAGATCAAAGTAAAAAGAGCGTTTTTTTGCAGTTTAACATACTTGCAAGCCTCTAGAGAAAAACTAACTTCGACGGGGATATCCTTGACCCGGAAAACCTAGGACTTTGCCTCAGATCTCTAGCTCTTCTGGTTCTCGAGATGAATCCCGTACGCACGGGCAGACGGAGAGACATTTTTAGTCTTTTAGATATTCAAATCTGTCTTAAATTACATTATTCTTATAAAAACATTGTTTTTCATTTAATTTTTATGCTTATTTCTAACTGTTATTTCCAGTAATGTCAAACGATCGAGCGGAAAATGGAGAAACGCTTCTAGATGAGTTTAAGAACCCTCAACTACAAACAACAACAACCAAACGAGTGAAAAGTATCGACGAATTTTTGACTTTGGGAAGGTTGATTTAAATTTGCTGGATTTTGGGCTCAAAATATCAAAATATTGCTTTCAGATATTGTGTTTGGTTTCTGTTTTGTGTTGAATTAATGACTTTAACCTCGTTGATCTGCAAGGTTTGTATGGTCTTTATAGGTGAGTGCAGTAAAAAGTTTAAAGCTTTTTTAAAGCTGCTTATCGGTGAGCTGCTCGGTGCTTATCGGTGAAGCTGCTTATCGGTGAGCGGCTCGGTGCTTATCGGTGAAGCTGCTTATCAGTGAAGCTGCTTATCAGTGAAGCTGCTTATCGGTGAAGCTGCTTATTCTCTAGGTGCTACTCCGAATATCGTTTCTTGTGGAAATGTGACTTTTGTTGATCAAACGGAGGCCTGTGAGAGGTTGCCCATTTTGATTGAGATGACAAGCTGCAAACCGGTGTTTGAGTATCAATTTCTATCGGTGAATGTCGAGGTTTGTGGGAAAACGATTGAGTCTAGCTAATCAAAGCTTTAAAAAAACTTTATATGATAAGAATTTTTAGTATAATTTAATCTGCAAAGATGCGTATCTTGTGAAGAATTCGATATCGGTTCAAATGCTCGGAGTGCTAGTGGGAAACTTTGTGTTTGGTCAATTCTCCGATAGTTATGGGAGGAAACTGGTAAACGCCTAAAAGTCCTGAAGAAAAGCGAGAAAAGTTGTAGACAATTTTCATTTCTTTGATTTGCATCACAGTCACCTCGTTCATCAATGCTTATGCGACCTCGTTTGAAGTGTTTTACTGGCTTCGCATTGTAGTCGGCTTCTTTTCTGGTGGACTATCAACGTGAGTGTCACTTTGACTATCAATTAGTATCAATTAGTGAGTTAGTTAGTTATTTTAGCCATAGGTCACATAGTGACCTATGGCTAAAATTTATTCAATTCTTAAGTAATAAAGAAGTGAAAGAATTGACAAGAAAAAGTCGATTTTTGAGGAGAGGGGAACCTCTTTGAGGAGAGGGGAAACCTTTGAACCCTCGACCTCGACCCCCGACTTTTTGCTTTCCGGGCAATTGCTCTAACCACTGAGCTATCCGGCACCTATCCAGTAGATTCTTTCAAAATCCTTTGAATTTACCAGACATTGATCCCAATGACAGATCAAGCTCCTTTGCTCATTTGCTTCCTCTTTCCTACAGAATGATTCCGTTTCCTCCCCATCCTTTATATCCCTTCTAAAAATCATAACTACAAAGATCAAAAACTTGAAACAACTTAACAAAAGTGTCAATCTCAAACAAGCAAAATTAGGATTTAAAACTTTCGTCTCTTAGCCTTCACTCTCGGGTTTATTCTCTTCAAAATTTCGATCGGTTCTTTTTATTTTCGCAAAAAACGTAAATTGAGATTGTTGGTTCAAATCTTTTTTTGTTTTTGCCTGAAAGTTTTCTGTTTTTGAAAACAATATATTAATAGAATAAATAAATCCAATTTACATTGGTTTTAACTTTTAAAAAGAGCACTTAAAAGGACGATTTTTCCAAAATTCCATCAAAACCGAACTATTTTCAGTTGATTCATTAGTTTTTGATTTGAAAGGAGCTTGGTCTGTCATTGGGATCAATTTCTGGTAAATCCAAAGGATTTAGAAAGAAACTACTGGATAGGTACCGGATAGCTCAGTGGTTAGAGCAGTGGTTAGAGCTCAGTGTTTAGAGCAATCGCCCGGAAAGCAAAAGGTCCGGGTCGAGGTCGAGGGTATCGATTATCAATCACAATATAGACTTTCCAGTTTGTAAGGGTAAGATCTTTTACATTAGACACGGAAGAAAACAGAAACAAACCGGATTTTTTTTTTCAAGAAGAAAACAGGGTAGGGTTTGAAGTGAGGTTTGAAGGCAACAAACCCACCGGTCGAAGATATGTTTTACAGAGCGATTGGCGTGTACACAATGGAAAATGTTCCAACGAGGCACCGAATGTGGGTGACGACAGTGATCTCGTGGTCACCGAACTATATTTTCTTCCCGGTGATCGCTTATTATTGCCACGATTGGAGGACACTGCTAAAAGCGAATGCTCTACTTTCTTTTCTCTCGATGATTTGTATTTGGTAAGCTAGCAATTCGAAGCAACATAGTGTCTTTTTCAGCTTTCTTTTCGAATCACCGTTATGGTTGGTTCAAAAAGATCGATTTGAGGCAGCAAGACGAGTTTTTTCAAAAATTCAACGGATCGACGGACGTTCAGAAGATAAACTCGGATGGCAGGAATTGGAAGAGGCACTCGAATATCGCCAACAGGTTACTTTTGAGAATATTTAATCTCCATTTATTAAAACATCTTCTTAAACTACAATCGGCTGACAAGCTGTGATTTCACTTGTTGTTGCAATTATTGTTGTGGTGGCAACAACTATTGCAGAAAACGTTTGATTTGAAGCAGCTGCACCTTTCATTGAAAGCAGCTGCACCTTTCATTTGAAGCAGCTGCACCTTTCATTTGAAGCAGCTGCACCTTTCATTTGAAGCAGCTCCACCTTTCATTTGAAGCAGCTGCACCTTTCATTTGAAGCAGCTGCACCTTTCATTTGAAGCAGCTGCACCTTTCATTTGAAGCAGCTGCACCTTTCATTTGAAGCAGCTGCACCTTTCATTTGAAGCAGCTCCACCTTTCATTTGAAGCAGCTGCACCTTTCATTTGAAGCAGCTGCACCTTTCATTTGAAGCAGCTCCACCTTTCATTTGAAGCAGCTGCACCTTTCATTTGAAGCAGCTGCACCTTTCATTTGAAGCAGCTGCACCTTTCATTTGAAGCAGCTGCACCTTTCATTTGAAGCAGCTCCACCTTTCATTTGAAGCAGCTGCACCTTTCATTCCCAAATCCATTTGTGCAGTTGCAATGCTTGTGCCCTAAAAGTAAAGAACAGAAAATTTCGTATTGAAAAATGAGTAGAATAAACGAAAGTTTACATTGCGAGCTTGTCAATGATTGTCATGATTGTCAATGATCAATCAATGATTCGGCACCAATAGCTGATCGAAACGATATTTCATTTCATGGCACTTCTTCAACTGCCAAAAAAGTTGCCGACAAAATTTAGAAAAATTTAATTACAGACATTTGAAAAGCTGTAACGATAAAAACGGTAGATCAACACGTAATTTGAATAACCCGATCCGGATAGAATCCAGACTAGATATACTAGATATACTAAATAGAAAGAATATACTAGATAAAATACTAGATCTGGGATCGGATCGGATCGGGCCCGATCCGGATAGAATCCAGACGACTAAAACAACCTCCAGATCCAATTCAATTCAGCCGAAAAGGCTTGAAACCTCTTCAGCAAGCCGAGAAAATTCAAACTTTTTCGGCTACGACAAATAGATGGAGTCCGGTGTTCCCTTAACAGGATCGCTTCCAACCCGGTTCACCAGATCTATAAAATCCGGAGATCATCTTCTAAGACGAATTGAATTGAATCTGGAGGTTGTTTTAGTCGTCTATCCGGATCGGGTCCGATCCGATCCCAGATCTAGTATGTTATCTAGTATTTTATCTAGTATATTCTTTCTATTTAGTATGTCTAGTATGTCATTTTCTTACTAAGTCAGTTATAGATTACCAAGTACTCGGGAGTTTTGTCTTTTCTTTCAGATTGCTGAGACTCGACCGAAAAAGCAGAGAAAATACACGTACTATCACATCTTGTGCACCTGGAAGATGCTGTCCTGGACGAGCACTTTGGCTTTTGGAATGTGAGTTCTTGTTTCTAGAAAAGATAAAATCTTTCTAAAGTATTCTGCCAACTAGAAACTTCAGTTTATTTTGAAGAGTTCGGAGTTCAACGAACGAACTATGAGTCCCTAAGAGAGCGGAGAAATCGAAATGTTTTTGATGCTAAACGATTTGAGAGCTTTTGCATAGCTTTTGAGTATACACTACTGGACAATGAAATATCATATTTGAAAACCGATCGTCACTTTCGCGCGTCTGTAACTTCCTTGTCTTTACCGTATTTCTAGATATTAATATTACCATTGTGTAGCCCTTGAAAAGAGCTTTCAGAAAATGTATAACACTAATAGTTTAAGCTCAAAGACAAGGGAGTTAAAGACGCGCGAAAGTGACGATCTTTTTTCAAATATCATATTTCATTGTCCAGTACTGTAGCTTTTGCATCTTAAACAATAACTTGGTACTATTAATTGCTATAACATTTAGGCAAGCAATCTTTCACATATTTAATCCAGCTTTTCTATTTATTTCTTTTGGTCTATGTGCCAGATTTTGAAAGTTAACAGATGCCATTCCGAGGAAATGTATAGATGAGTAAAATTAAGTAGAAAAGTACAAATTTAGCATACCACCTTCCTCGACACCTAATCAACCAACCAATCTCCCAAAATCTGCCCAATCTTTTTGGACAACCTTATTCAGTAGGGTGACTAACAGAAAGGCGCATAAATTCTTAAATGTTTTGTCTGATTTGGATTTTAATCACCACCAAAAGAGAAACGCATCTTCTATCGAGAGAGAAAGAGGCGTCAATCCCTGGTCACTGACGACGAAGCTATCGTTCAATGAATTCCCTCTTTTCTTGTTTATTTAGAAAAAGCAGTATAAAAAAGGATAAAGGACTACAGAATACGGCTTGACATTTGAAAAACTTTACAATTTACCGCAATTAATGCTCGATGGGTAAAATTAAGTCGAAAAGTACAAATTTAACATACGAACCACCTTCCTCGACACCTAATCAACCAACCAATCTCCCAAAATCTGCCCAATCTTTTTGGACAACCTTATTCAGTAGGGTGACAAACAGAAAGGCGCATAAATTCTTAAATGTTTTGTCTCATTTGGATTTTAATCACCACGGACTGAGTGATTTGGATTGTGTTTCGTAAATTTTCATTAGACGTAAACTTTCTGATTTCAATTTTTAACCAAAATTTTTGTTATTTTGATTTTACGTGATTTTTACGGCATATAGACGAACTGGAGAACGAAAAAGTAAAATGGATTTCATTTCAAGCGCTTCCCCACCCCCGCAAAATACACAGAGATCTTAAAAATTAGGTATAAAGTGCTCATTAAAGGGTCTATAAGTTCTCGTTAATGTTACCAATTTTACCAATTAAGTCGAAAAGTACAAATTTAACATACGAACCACCTTTCTCAAAACCTAATTAACCAACCAATCTCCCAAAATCTGCCCAATCTTTTTGGACAACCTTATTCAGTAGGGTGACTAACAGAAAGGCGCATAAATTCTTAAATGTTGTGTCTGATTTGGATTTTAATTCTTAGATCTTAAAAATTAAGTATAATTGCTCATGAAAGGGTCTAGAAGTGCTCGTTAATGTTATTCTACTATCTTCGAACCTTTTTATAGATTCATAAAAACTAAGAAACATTCAAAAGAACAGTAAAAACATGTCATTGTAGCGCTTGAGATTGTTGAATCCAAATCGGAAAAAACATCAGATAAATTAGTCTATTTAGTGGCGCCACTTCTCTTGTCAACTATGCCCTAATGTTCAACATGGAGAAGCTGAGTGGATCACTTTATTGGAACAATATTTTACTTGGAGTTAGTTTTTTATTTAACTTCTTTACTCATATTCGACACTTTTTCGATCATTCGCTGGACGATGAACATTTTTGTGGCTCTTTGGGATTATTTTCGTAAATCGTTTGGCCGAAAGCACATCAACGCGTTGGCGTTGCTCTTTAATGCCGTATGTCTGGCGTGGATTTGTTTGACTTACTACCAAGGCTTGAGGAAACGCTTTTTGCTTGATTTTTTTATCTATTTACAGAGCCGAACAGCAATGGTGGATGGGTTTTAAGAAGTTGCACGATTGCGATCACAGCCATGTGCAGTCAGGTGAGGCGCAACTCGTTTAACCCGTTAACAAAATCTGAAATATGTCTAGCTCGAACGTACAGTCGAACCTCGATAGTGAGATATCCAAGGAATCGGCTCTGGAATCTATATTAGGGATTGCTATCTCAAAATAAACTATAATAGTTAGAAAGATCAGACTTTTGATTGCAGCAATTGCGCTACTTCATTAACTTAATTTGCATCTTAACAGGAAAAAGTTAATTTATGGGTTAAAAGACGATTACATTTTCTAATACGAAATTCTACTGGCACGACTGTGAGTGTTGTCTTACCCCGTAACTCGATTTCTAATTAAATCAACTTTCCTAGTGAGCCCGACTTTCAACAAAGAGAGCCTAAGCCTAATCCGAGAACTGGCTGAGATCCAGAAAATGGGGGGTTCAGCCCAAACCCAAATAGACTTAGTGCGAGGCGCTAGCCGCTAGCCTTCGCACTAAGTCCAAGCCTAAGCCTAAGCCCAACCCTAAGCCTAAGCCTAAGCCTAAGTCTAAGCCCTAAGCCTAATAAGCCTAAGCCTAAGCCTAAGCCTAAGCCTAAGCCTAAGTCTAAGCCTAAGTCTAAGCCTAAGTCTAAGCCTAAGTCTAAGCCTAAGTCTAAGTCTAAGTCTAAGCCTAAGCCTAAGCCTAAGCCTAAGTCTAAGCCTAAGTCTAAGCCTAAGTCTAAGCCTAAGTCTAAGTCTAAGTCTAAGCCTAAGCCTAAGCCTAAGCCTAAGTCTAAGCCTAAGTCTAAGCCTAAGTCTAAGCCTAAGTCTAAGTCTAAGTCTAAGCCTAAGCCTAAGCCTTTATATCAAATTTTTACCTAGAAAAATATAAATTATACAAAGTACTAACTTGCATCAGCTTCAATCATTTCTTTTTACATCAATTCTAAAGTGTTAAGGTAAAAAGGAAAAAAATTGGCTAAGAGAGGAATCGAACCCTTGACCTAACTGATAGATTTATCGACAGCGCCAGCAAAGCAAAGGTCGTCTGCGCTAGATTATCATTATATCAAATGTTTTACATTTTGAAAACTGAGCATTTGCATTTGTGTTAAGTGGAAATTTAGCAGTCCGATCATTTCCTGTCTCTTTTAGCTTTATAGCGCCAAATGTATGGCCACCAACGAGTTGTACGCGACGGCTGTTCGCAATTTGGCCACAGCAAATCTCTCAATTTGGAGTCGATTTGGGACAATGATTGCACCACAGCTATTTCAATTGGTTTGTAAAAATCGATGACTAGTTTCTGTTGTATTATAAGTTTCGAAAAGTTAAGTTACAAAGTCGATTACCAAGATTACGATTCAACCATTGAGTTTGATTAAGAGCGAAAATGTGCACAAACGATAAACTTCCTATTGCTTTTGTTGCGCTAGTGCGCTTTTGTTCCTATTTGTTCATCGGTCAAGCATTTTGCTAATCTATTTCAATGCCGATCTACCTAATATAATAAATCAAGCTTAAACAAATCTAAAACCTTTTTTTTGTGTCTGTTAATACGTACTTGTTTAGGGTGATTCGACTTCTCCGCTTCCTTACATAGTCCTTCTTGTCGTCACCATTATCGATCTGACAGCTTTTCAAGTAAAGCCTTGTTTTCAACAAAGTTAAACTGTTCAGAAAGTTTGAATAATTGTCAAAAAAATTGACTTGCAGATTTTCATTCCCGAGACGAAAGGGAAATCTCTCGAAAAGGAGCTCCCACCAAAAGAGAAACGCATCTTCTACCGAGAGAGAAAGAGACGTCAATCCCTGGTCACTGACGACGAAGCTATCGTCCAATGAATTCCCTCTTTTCTTGTTTATTTAGAAAAAGCAGTATAAAAAAGGATAAAGGACTACAGAATACGGCTTGACATTTGAAAAACTTTACAATTTACCGCAATTAATGCTCGATGGGTAAAATTAAGTCGAAAAGTACAAATTTAACATACGAACCACCTTCCTCGACACCTAATCAACCAACCAATCTCCCAAAATCTGCCCAATCTTTTTGGACAACCTTATTCAGTAGGGTGACTAACAGAAAGGCGCATAAATTCTTAAATGTTGTGTCTGATTTGGATTTTAATCACCACGGACTGAGTGATTTGGATTGTGTTTCGTAAATTTTCATTAGACGTAAACTTTCTGATTTCAATTTTTAACCAAAATTTTTGTTATTTTGATTTTACGTGATTTTTACGGCATATAGACGAACCGGAGAACGAAAAAGTAAAATGGATTTCATTTCAAGCGCTTCCCCACCCCCGCAAAATACTCAGAGATCTTAAAAATTAGGTATAAAGTGCTCATTAAAGGGTCTATAAGTTCTCGTTAATGTTACCAATTTTACCAATTAAGTCGAAAAGTACAAATTTAACATACGAACCACCCTTCTCAAAACCTAATTAACCAACCAATCTACCAAAATCTGCCCAATCTTTTTGGACAACCTTATTCAGTAGCGTGACTAACAGAAAGGCGCATAAATTCTTAAATGTTGTGTCTGATTTTGGTTTTAATCATCACCAAATGAGAAACGCATCTTCTATCGAGAGAGAAAGAGGCGCCAATCCCTGGTCACTGACGACGAAGCTATCGTTCAATGAATTCTCTATTTTCCTTGTTTATTTAGAAAAAGCAGTATAAAAAGGGATAAAGGACTACGGAATACGGCTTGACATTTGAAAAACTATACAATTCACCGCAATTAATGCTCGTATTCGTAATAAATGAGCGCTCGATCAATTGAGCACTAAAAATTGAGTTGGTGCGTATGAAATTCCCCGAATTTTTGTCAAGTTCCATTTTCTTCTTTTGCCATGCACGATTTTGAGCTTTCATGTCGAACCGAAATGATTCGATTTAGTCCAGCAAGTAGAATTTTAATAGAATTCTTGGGATAGAATTTTCAACTAGAAGTAGTCACCTCCCACACCTACCTCGGAAGAAGCATCAACATTGAGGGATACCTAAGACCAGAAGTCGGCAGAAGAAGACGAGCGGCCTGGACAGCACTAGGGGAGCATCAAAGAAGTCACAAAGATCCTCAAGAGTCACCAGAGGACTCGGGCACACCTCTTCGACAGCACCGTCCTCCCGCCACTCTGCTACGGGACAGAGACCTGGGCCACAGACCACCGAACGAGCTCTGAGAACGACACATCGAGCCCTCGAAAGGAACCTAAGCCCAATAGGAAGACGCAGCTCGACCAAGACCTAAGAAATACGGATATGCGCCAGCTCTCGGGACTCAGAGATCCAGTGGAAGTGATTGAGAGAAAAAGGCTCAGATGGGCCGGTCACGTGGCCAGAAGAACAGACGACAGATGGACGATACGGGTCGCAGAGTGGCTACCACGAGACCAGAAGAGGCCCATCGGAAGACCAGCAAGGATTTACAATTTTTTTGATTTTAATGACCCTAAATTTATTAAAATCTACCAACAAAGATCACTCTTATCAACAAACTATCAGTAGTTAGACTTAAAAAACGTGGTTGCCGTTGTATGGATTATATTTTTTAGATAATAACGATCATGATAACGAGCTTATCCTCTTGCTTAACCTCTCAATAATAGATTTAGGTTTGAAAAACCGAAAACTTTGACCTGAATTCGATTAACCAGTAACTTGATATTAAGAGTTTGCCTAAATTAATGCAAAAAAAAAACAAATGAGATCGATATTTTTACACTTTAAACAAAGAAATTTCGACACGAACATCCATGTTTTGACTGAGCACAAACATCACAAACCATATTTATTTCTATTTTCATCTTATAGACTCCTATTCAAGGTAGGCGAGAGAGAAAATAGCAATATGCATAGTCTTTTTGATATAGATACAGCTTTCATCAGAAAAAAGAATGAATGGGCGTAAATATTGTGAAGTCTACAGCCAGACATTGAATATTTGATATTAAATATCAATGAAAATATCTGAAAAAGTCGAAAAGCGTAAATAAAAATTTGTTTTGCAACTTAGTCTCTATATAAGCCAATTTGATGTGAAAAGTTTTTGAAAATTTTCCGAAAAATGAACCAAAAGGTTGGTGTTTCATTTTTGCCTGTGCTTTTTATGCACTATTTTAGGTAGTCTGTCTTCTTTTTGTCTTGATCAGCGCCTACACAGTCATTGGTAATTTTGTTGATTTTCATTGGTAACGTCGAACAAATGATGATGCTTTTGTATATAAGGCTAGGGTTAGTGACTGGTACGATACTAGACACGAGCGCCAGTTCCGCTCGGCTTTGTTTGTCACCGGTTCCGAGTTATTTCGATGAAATTGACTCTACATTGCTTTTAATCGACGCTATGCCTAGCTATTACTTATCTATTACTTTTTAGCTACTACTAATCCATTTAGCTATTACAAATCGTTTTAGATATTACTAATCCTTTTAGCCATTACTTATCCTTTTAGCTATTACTAATCCGTTTAGCTATTACTAATTCTTTTAGCTATTACTAATTCTTTTAGCTATTACTAATCCGTTTAGCTATTACTTATCCTTTTAGCTATTACCGATCCCCCATTTCAAACCACAAAGTTTACAAAGTAGGGTCTTGTCTTAATGCCCACACAACAGTATTAGATAACATTAAAAAAAATGTTAAACTATATAGGTAAATTCCTCTTTGAACCAGGAGAGTCGTGGGTAACCGTACTTGATACAATAGGGTTGTAACTGGTCAGTACCCATTTTTCACCTTAAATGTGCAACGAAAAAAGTTTAAACGATTAAAACGGATAATTCAGTCCTCAACTTTCATCAATGATTCAGCTCAAATCGGTGGAACGATCACCGCATCGAGCAATTGTGCAAATGTTCGGTGTGGGGCCAACGAGATCTGCAATTCGTGCGGTCAAGCATGTGAACAACGTTGTGGACAGGGACCAATTGTAAGTTAGTGCCGTATTTTGCTTATTGTTTATAAAATAATAACAATAAAAATAATAATCCTTGAATTGCAGGCTTGCTCACCGCTTTGTCTCATGGTGCCCCGTGGTGTGTGCCAGTGTGCTGTCGGTTTCTATAGAAATGCTCAAGGAGCTTGTGTTCTCAGCAGTCAATGTCGAAGATCAAACAAAAAAATAACGGTAATTTCAATTTCAGTAATTTTACCAAACGGAACTGCTATATGGATCTCTTGGAATTGATCTTTTGATTGATTCATGTTTGGCTTTTACTAGTTAGCTGAAAACTAGCTCTTTTATTCCGATTTTTTAAAAATCAACACTAATATGCATCAAGCTATCCATTTCATTCTTTAATCCCCTAAAACGGAAAACTGGAAGTACGCTAAGAGGAAATATATGTGTAATGTATGTATAACAATTCGGTTCTTAATAGTTTATTGTTTTGAAGCCATTAACTAATCAGCTTCACACACAAACACTTGACTTCTGGCACAGTTGATTCTATGGCTTGATGTTGATTCTATAGCACAGTTGATTCTATTCTATAGCACAGTTGATTCTATTCTATAGCACAGTTGATTCTATTCTATAGTTGATTCTATTCTATGGCGTAGTTGATTCTATTCTATGGTACAGTTGATTCTATTCTATGGCATAGTTGATTCTATTCTATAGTTGATTCTATTCTATGGCATAGTTGATTCTATTCTATGGTACAGTTGATTCTATTCTATGGCATAGTTGATTCTATTCTATGGTACAGTTGATTCTATTCTATAGCACAGTTGATTTTATTCTATAGTTGATTCTATTCTATGGCATAGTTGATTCTATTCTATAGCACAGTTGATTCATGTTCAGCATCTATTTCAACATTACCGAAGGTCTTTTTGAGTGATTCGTTAGAATATTGTTTACAACAATATCGATACGTGGTCTACCAAGAAAGGTTGTAACAGGCCTTTTACAGGCCTGGCAAGCCCCCCGCCTTCCAAAGATAAGTCTGTCAAGCTTCCAAAGCCAAGCCAAGCTTCCAAAGATCAGTCTGTCAAAATTTGAGATCAAGCAGTTATCTAATTCGGTCAGTCGTCCGATTCCGAACAAATTCGATTCTGAATTGGACGCCAGTTCATTTGGACGTAACATGTACAAACTAAATGAAATGAAAATGAAAAGATGAAAAACAAATGAAAAATCTTTACTCACAACAAATAAGGAAAAAGTTTTGTTTTCAGTTGCAAAGCTGATTCACAACTAGAGAAGTGTTGAAGGGGAAAGTTGATGGAGAGTGGAGAACGATCAATAAAACTTATAAACATTGTCTGTACATTGATTTTGTATTTGTTATTTGTTGCATAAAGATAAAATGTTTTTTTTGCTTTTACTTTTCGAGTAAAAGAAGAAACTTTTTAACAAAAAACAAACAAAAAATTCATCTTCTCATGGCGACTGAATGGTTTTGCCAGTAGGGCATTTGAGCTATTCTAACTCTTTTTGCTCGTCTGCAGAGATCTTAAAGAAAGCTGGTAACTAACTAGTTGATAACTTACCTTGCTCCACAAGATTTTTCCACTATCCAACGAGAAACCCTCCTCACTTGGTCAGTTTATTTTTTGTTTTTCCATCAAAGCTTTCTAAACAAAAGCTATCGGATTATCATAATAAACAAAGAGGAATTGCCAAAGAACGGTTTGATCGGTTTGATGCTAATGGTTTGATCTGTTTGATGCTAACGGTTTGATCTGTTTGATGCTAACGGTTTGATGCCTTAATTCAGCCTTAATTCAGGCTTAATTCAGCCTTAATTCAGCCTTAATTCAGCCCTAATTCAGGCTTAATTCAGGCTTAATTCAGCCCTAATTCAGGCTTAATTCA